AATAAAGATTATATATATATATAAATATATATATATATATATGAAAAAAATATGCTTTGAAACGCTACTAATTTTAATTTCTTTTAATAAAATTCTGAATTTTAATGGTTACCACTTTTTGTAACTTTAGTTGCCCGTGGCAGCCCTGTGAAAGATTACACCTAAGAACAGAGAAGTTCATTATAACAGACCAAAGTTAATTCGTAATATATTAAGTAGGTATGTAATTCACATTACTCTGGATCAATCCTGTATTCTTCCAGTGAAAACTGGGATTCAATCACCAATGGCGACTTGAAGCGCACCCAACTTCAGATTTATGGGTACCCGTTTGTTTGGGAAGTAACAGCTACCTGCCCACAATCATGCAATTGAATTTAAAATTGTGGTACCTCGAACCTCTATAACCCACCTCCTACATCAGAAAGCCTCCACACGGTTTCTCGTAAGTAGGCTGCGTTTAAGAGTACTTGAGAGAAATTTATCATATATATTTGAAAAATGAATTTGTAGTGGTTGACAAGTAAATAAGACAAATTAATCATATTCATAAATTAAACAATTTTTTAGACATATATTTGCTACCACTTTCTTATTTTTACCAAATTTTCTATTAAAGGGCTCTTTCGTAAACTAGTTTACCTTCAAAGTGGTCTGATCGAACTACCTATAAAAAACCGTGCGGAGGCTTTCAGTTGTAGGAGGCGTTCGCTGAAGAGATAATGTTCTTTTATTGAATCAGTCCTGAAAATAAGTATCTGCTTCATGTTATTTTATATCGAGACAAGGATGCCAACTTGCCCCAGAAAGAGGATAATATTTTAGAGTGGTAGTCTTGTAATGTACGACTCTTAGTTTAGTAAAACCGATCTGTCGCGTTGTTACTCACCACTCCTGCTAAATAATTCAGCAGCTTATGTTATAAACCAATTTGTCGCACTTCAGTCGTGTTGAGAGCTTTAAAAAGTCAGAAAAGCTTGTAAATTGTAGTTTTAGTTTTTTGCCGAGTTTTGAAATATTTTGTTTTGTCAGGAGCAGTTTGCAACTAGGCAACTAAACCGGAACTGAAAGCCTCCACACGGTTTCTTAGAGGTAGTCCGTTCAGACCACTATGAAGGTTAACTAGTTTACAGAGATCCCGCGGCCTTTAAAAAGGTTTAGTAGTGGTAATAAATTTAGGTTAATAAGAGAAGATAATTCTTACTTTAATATACCACTTTATCGTTAAGAGACTTAGAATTTGACTTGATATGTTATTTTGCGAAGTACCTGTCCGCGAACAGGGCATCTGACTTCTTCATCTATCTAATTTGCCCTAGGGCGACTAAGACTTTTGGCGTTAGGCGGCTTAGAATTTCGTTCGTTCGTTGTAGTGGAACTGGGCGTCAGGGCGTCTGTATTACGGCCCTTTTCCCATTCATCCTGAAATTAGACTAAGAAACATACAATGACAAAAATAAAGTTTGGGGCGCAAATTGGAATTTGTGAGAGGAAAAAATTGCCATTATTAGGTAATAACAAAATTACAAGTAATATAAAAGTACATAAAAAAAGGTAAAATTAAAATTAATAATTAAGTACATTGAGAAAATGAACACTAATGAGTATTTGCAGTTTAGGAATGTATATGCATACCTGCCAACTTTTACGCATTTGGCGTAAAATTTTATTTTTATATTTAAAGTGGTAGTAAATATATACTATTTTTTTTTTATGAACTAAATTTTTAAATGATTTTCATCACCAATATTCTTAAAAAAATTAAGCATATATATTAATATGCGTTACTATCATAATAGGCAGCTTACGCTTTTTCAAATACAACGTATTTTTTTACTTAAAATTGAAATTTTTGTTCCATTTTAATACCACTGGGAAAAATCATAACGGAAGGGATTAAAAGTTGGCAGGTATGTATATGCAAAGGGGGGACGAGTTAAAGGAATGTGTATATGCGTAATTAAGTGTGGCTCTGTAGAAGAGGATGCGACACGCCTAAGTCCCTCAATCACGTTCTTCAGAACTGCTACTCCACCCACTTTCAACGGATCAAACGACACAATGCCTTTGTCGATTACGTTGCGCTGTCCCTCGACAACAGAGGTTTTACAGTCACCAAAGAACCTCAATTTGTGGATGTCGAAGGCACTTTGAAACCTGACATTATTGCCTGCCGTGAAGACTCAATTTTTGTAATTGATGCCATCAATGTAATGCGAGTCATTAATGATCAATGTAATGTGAGCCATTAATGTAATGTGAGTCATTGTAATGTGAGTCATTAATGATCAATATAATCTTCATGAAGATCATGAAGCAAAAATTTCTAAGTATAAGTCCAAACTTGATCGTCATCTTCCGAACATGCGACCACAGGATCTGTTTTACACTACACTAACCCTCAACTGGAGGGGTATAATTTCAAGAGATAGCCATGCACAACTGCTGGCTTTCCATCTTTTAAATGAAAGAGATTTTAGGATTCTTTCAACAAGAGCTCTTGTGGACGGTATTGCGATTCATCGGGCTCATCAGAGAATGGCGTCTAACCGACTGATGAAACGAGGGAAATGACGCACCTGAGTTTGGGGTTTTGTATGGGCAGTTTTCCCTATAAAGCAAAGATATTCTATTGTTCTGTTCATCGTTTGTAATTTTTGAAATATGTTGTTTTGGAATTAAAAATAAATAAATAAAAAAAATTTTAAAAAATGGATAAATAAATAAAAAAAATAGAGATCAGGCCGTAATGATAATTACCAATCGTGCCGGGTTGCTCTCTACTCTTAAGTTACAGGGATTAACTTACCCCGAGGGTTGCTCTTTCACAGAGATAAGCTGAATCAGCATGTGAATAACTCAGTCAGTGTTTGTGTTTTTAAGTGTTAGTGTGATATCAGAAGTGTAGAAGTGTGCTAAGGGTCTAAGCTTTGCAGCCTCTTTGATAGTTATGCAGTCGAAAATATCATTAAAATTTGCGGTATCGCAGGTGGAGACTTTAATGAAGAAGTTTCTGTTTAATTTGTTGAAATGATGGTTAAAACGGTCAGTGTTAAGATCTCTATGAATGGCGTTGTTGCGGATAAACCATCTGGCTCCCGTGAGCTTTCTCAAGATGGTGTTTTGGAGTACGAAAGTTCGTTGTGGTCTTTTTCGGAGGCGTTACACCAGGCAGATGAGGAGTACTCATGATACGTACTAAAACTCTCATACCCATATGTGATGATTATCTTAGCATCAGCCCCGCTAGGGGCTCCAACTAATTCATCTGAGTGGAAATAAATAATAAATCACCGAAGCGCAACTGAAAGGTCAAAGTACTAAATCATCAGTATTACATATTAGTATAGATGCTTAATTTTTTTCAAAAATAGAGGTGGGCAAAAGCATCATACCCTCCAACTTATGAGGATTTTGAAAATAATTCTTTCTAGTGGTAGCGAACCAAAGTAGAAATTTTTAAAGCAAATGGATCTCTTATAAAACTTTTATCAGAACTTAAGAATCTAGCCATATGGCCTGCACTTTTATAAGTAATAGTGGACAAGTTACGCTAAAATTATTTTTTTTTAAATATTAAGACATTGATTTTGCTACCGTCTGAAAAGAAGATTTCTGAAACTACGGAAATTCCGTAGCAGTTGGAGGGTATGAAGCATTATAAATTAAGCTTTAAAGTGCAAGGAATATATAGAAAGCATACATTTTACTACCTCTTTAAATATGGGGATAAAATTTTACAGGCTGTAAATAAAAGTTGGCAGGACTGTAATTGATAGACGCATTATACTATGTTTTAGATGCTCTTTCTTACGATTATGGAATAAACGCTGGAAATTTTATTATAAAATATATTTATTTGTTTACAATTTTTAAAAAAAAGTTCGTGGAATTAGCAAGCAAGTGTCAAATTGTTTTAAAAGCTATAAAACTTTTAAATAATCTACTTAATAGCTTCCTATCAGTAAAATTAAAATAATTTAATTATTAAATATTTGTAATGCACTCTGTTAATTTAACTTCAGAATGTTAGGATAACAAAATTTTCCAAAGCTTCGTCTGCTGCTTCTAACGAGGTGGCAGATAAAGCGTGCATGTAGCTAAATTAGGGATAAATGAAAATCTCAATTATTCTTGTGATGCGAAACGAAGTGGTATCACTTATAAGGCGTCTTGAGGATTCGATGTTATTCTCCAGTAATTGATTTTCTAAATTAATGAATATTGTAAAAAATATAATAAATAGGGTTTTTTAAATAATAATGTTTTTGTTATTTATTTTTTACGGAAGTAATGACATTATAACAATACAGTATAGAATTGTATCGCAGAATATTCCTCAGCAGGATCACAAGTCATACGTAAATAAATAAAATACATGAATATAAACAACGCGTATTGGCACACATATTTCAAGATGTGGAAGTTCCAACATTATCGAAGACTTATGATATATCCACGCGACGTAAAAGTGACAACAAAATACCGACTATTGGCTTCTAGCTTGGCTCACAAGTTTTATTTTGTCCCTTGCAATGTTAAAAGATGTGTTTCTTTATTTTAGAGACTGAATTTTGTGAATCACGGGCTACCCGATGCTCAAAATTCTACTTAGCAGTTCAAGCACAAGAATAAACTTGCAATCCGTAATAAAAGCGACCAAAGATTTCTCGAAAATTACCCAAGCATAGAGGATAGCAAAATTACAAATATTGTAAAAAAAATTGCGAGGTTCCGGCATTAAGTTTCACAATCCGTTGAATAATTTCTTACCATTTTGTTCGCTTGTGGCAAGTGACAGTGCTTGGCTTTTAATTTATACTGTCGTCTACAGACACATTCACATGAATACTATTCAGAGTTGTGGTACTTTTTCTTTCGCACATGCTCATTGAGTGTTTTTTTTTTCCATTTTGCAGTGCAAAAGATTAATGTCATGATCGAGTGAAATTTAAATTGGGCGGAAATTTTGTCTTGTTCAGACGCACAGTGGGGATAAAAAACCGAATTATTTTTAATAACTTTTGAGGAAATGACTGAATCTTCACGTTCTGTTACTCAATCGTAATGGCTCGAGAACTTGACTTCAAATATGAGGAATAATAAGTACAGTAAATAACTGCAGACAATATTTTAAGTTACGAAATCAGACACAAAAATGTACTTTCCCCCAAATAAAAAATTTAAAGCAGTAGAAAAAATTTTCTCCTGTTTCAGGTATTTCTATTATTATTTAATGTATTATTCAATATAGCTCATGAATCTTTGTTACATTTAAAAAATATTGTACTACTTTGTAAAAGTCAAAGGGGCAAAGCTTTTTTTTAACTTCGTATAGCGTAAAACTCAATAAAACTGTTGATCCTTGCAGTTTAGGCTGCTAATTACTACACTATTTTTCAGAAATGTCACAGTTGCTGATTAACACGTTAAACGCCACGCTAATTTTACATGGCTTGCCCATTAGGCCACGGTAAATAATTACAAACTAAATTTGCAATTATTAGACGGATTTTGCTATTTTTTAGAAGGTTCATCATGACATATCTGTTTACTTACTTACTTTATCTACAAAAAACTGGGCACCTGGACCGCGCAGCGGCCCTGGTGCCCAGTTTTGGTAGATAGTGCCCAGTTATATCATGAAATAACTATATACATTGATTTAAACATTTTGATGAAAGCGACATTATGGTATCTTTTGAAAAAGGTCAAGCTCTTTGCTTGATAAATTAAACACAATTTGCATTACAAGAAATTTATGTATGATAATTATATACAGGCATGATTAGAAAATATACGTTGGTACTTATTTACAGACATAATTGGTGAATGACATATATGACAAAAGTGGTAAATTATATAAGCCTACGAATTATGTAGAAATAGTGGTGGATAAAAATCTACTAAATTGAATTTATTAAACCAAGAATCACAATAATTAAGTAAATTTTGAATAAATTTTCTCCAATTCCATAAAAATAGTGTAAATTTTATAGTTCTATATCATGTTATACGCTGTCAGCCAGCTGTTTTTCGCAGCCTATGTGAAAGGTCAATGTCAGCAAGCGGTGGCAGACGCAGCCTAAATGTAATTTCAGTGTCAGCCACCGGTGGTTGACGCAGCCTAAATGTCGCTTCAGAATCAGCGACCGGTGGCTGACGCGGCCCAAATGGAAAGTTCAGTGTCAGCCACCGATGTCTGACGCGGCGCTCAACTTGTTAATACTTTTTTTCAAAATAAATTTATAGAGTGATAGACAAGAAAACTAAATTTCTCAGAATTAGCAATTTTGCTAAATATTTTAGAACTTCACTAATAGAGAAATGGAACAAAGAGTTACATTATAAGAAGTTTTGAATCATATGTAATGCTACGAAAAATAAATTTTACGACACAAAGAATCAGACATTGAAACATAAACATTTTTTACGACTAGGAGAAATTTTTCTCAAAAGGGTTAAAGTCGACTTTCCTTCTGTTTAGCTTTTCTTAATGTTAGAATTCAATCGCTGTGTCCTAGTAATTTTTAACCTCCAAAAGACAAGTTATTACTAGATAAAAAAAATAATAAGGGGCAAAATTGCTTCTATGCAATAAATATTATCTAGGAAACTAATTCATACTTGCGTTCCATAGAGAAAAAACCTCGAAAACCTCTCATGGTTAATCCGGCGGCGAGAGATCTTTAACAGCAACGGTTGGGAATTGAATTTATAGAGCTAACGAGTAAGAAACACATTTTCTAGAAAATATTTAGTTAAACATTATCTATGGCTGATTTTAGTATTACGTATTATCACGTATTACGTGCTTCTTTTGAATAATAAACATAACTGAAAATGTAATAAATGGCTTCGAAGTTAGTTTGTGTTTTGATGAGTTACGCAAAAATATTTTTAAAAACATAAATAAGTAAAAAAACCATCTCCAAAAAGTTTATTGACCAATTTTTTCTAAAACAATTGTGTTTTTAATAACAAGCGCTTTTTTAAGTATTAAAATGATTTTCAAATTAATACTAATGGCATTAGAACAATTAATGAGTTGATTGAAGGAAAATACTTATGTTTACAACTGCTGTCTATTGCACTTATATAAAATGTTAAGATCTCAAACTCAAATAATAAACATATATTAAAATATACTAAAGGCAAATTTGGTATACACATATGTACACTGCTCAAAATTATTAGGGGAGCACATGGCTCCCCTAATTTTTTTGAGCAGTGTATAATGCTACCAAAATACATTAAATATACACTACTCAAATAAATTAGAGGAGCACATAGCTCCCCTAATTTTTTTGAGCAGTGCATATATATTTTATAGATATATGCCACAAAAATCTCTTCTCTCTCTTCAGTTTATTTGTTTAATCTCGCTACTTTATTTTAATTTTCTCTTCAGTTTCTGTTTAATGTTACTTTCACCATTCAATTGCGCTTGGACGATTTATCATACATTCCCACTCAGATAACTTAGAGCCCCTCGCTGGGTTGATGCTAAGATAACTACCACATATAAGTATGAGTACTTTTTCATGCGCACCACTAGTTCCCTTTTTAAATAATCTGCACCTATACCTATAAGAGTACCTATAAGAAACCATGTGGAGGCTTTCTGATATAGGAGGTGGTGATGTTGGTCGGGAAACATCTTTCATTGTTTCACCATCTACTATTTCTCCCAAACATTTATTTTGAAGTGAATCTGCGAATATNAAGCAGCTAGAAATCGCCACAGCTTAGGGCAAATTTTACAAACAATCAATGTTTTGAGAACATTTTATAAAACATTTCTCCATGAGCATGAATTTGTGGTGTGTAGACAAAACTCAAAACAATGAAGTCGCTTATGCGCAATAATAATCAATGTTTTTAGTCAACTAAAGTATGAAGAAATATACATAAAATAATTTATTAATACAGTATTCTTAGTATTATCCTTGAGTTATCCATAGAAAGTGGTTAGAAGATTTTTACATCTGAAATGTGACTTTTTGTTATACACTTCTGTAAGGCGCTACTTCATGGTGCCACCATGGTGTTACTTCACCATGTTAACACCTCCTTCATGGTGTTACTTCAGAAATAATTATACTTTCCTTATTGTTATTGATTGTTCATGTTTTTGACCGTGGAAATAATTTTTATACTGCAGTAGTTTAAAGCCTTCATTCATAGTTTCATATAATTTTACAACTTCAATGTGATTTTTGAAAAGAGATCCCCATTTTCTCTCTCACTGATTATAAAGAAATTAAAAAATGATTCATGCAAAACCAGGGAAAATAAATAGCTGCCCTATTTATTTTATTGATGAAAATGTAAAGAAAAATAATATATTAAATATTTAACTGATTAACTGAAGGTTAAGCATTTTACTGATTAAATTAGCTTGATGGATTATTTACGTTATTGTTTCATAAGCAAAGATTAACTCAATACGAATACTGAATCAATACACCGGAACTCTATAAAGAATATAATTGGAAATGCTGTTTATTACCTTTATACCGCTGAGGATTTCATTCATAAACTTCAGTCGAGTGTCTTTAACTTTCATTTGTTCATCCTTTGTAAAAATAAAACAAAAACACATGAGAATTATACATATGACGCTAGCTAATTGAAAAATCTAGCTCTTGAAAAAAAAAGATAGTCAGCATTTCGAAATGCATATGGCTAATTGGAAAAGTCTTAAGCGTTTTCTAATCTACCTGATTGAATTTAAACTAATTACTATCAGCCTCTCTGCCCTTAGGCTAATTAGGAAATGTGCCAAAAATTAAGATTGTAACAATAAAATAGCTTAAGTTTACAGCAATGAAACTATAACCAGTCTATTTACATTACTCCTCATTACAATCAAACTAAAGCTAATAGAGGAATAAATTAATTAATTTCTAATTGAAAATACTGCAGACTGTTTCAATTAGCTAGGCACTCTGAAAAGCTTGGCATTCTAATCAAAAAGTTGAATAATTCAATTAGACTATGTTGTTTATAAACTACGTGCAAAATGTCAAACAATATGTATTATCTCATTTATGCCTAGCGTCCTTTAAAAAGAACAGTTCCTTTTTTTTCAAAAATAAAATAAATTAGAGTTAAAATGTTTTTTTATTGATTTATTTTTAAAAAAAATAGTTCTATCTATCATAACATATTAAGTATAACAATATTTATATTTGATTTGAAATCTATACCCATGTGTCTTTTTAAAGAGAAAGGAGCAGTTAACAGAAAGATGGAATCCTTCTTTTTTTTACATAAGTGTTCCTCATATAAAGACCACATTTTGTAGGTGGGCAATTTAATGGGCTAACATAACTTCCATGCAAAAAAAACGAACTAAAGCTGAAACTTACTGTAAATTTTTCGCTGTACCTTGATACGAAGTAACCAACAGGAAGTAAGATAATTATTACAGCTAGACCTCCAAGTGTAGCTATTCCAATGTACTGCCACATAATTACAAGGATGATAACGATTCTGATTGGGCTAGTTAATAAATCTGCACAGTAATAAGTGAAATAGGTAAGTCTTTGAATGTCCACCGACAGAAGATTTGATATAGATCCGCTGGTAAATTCTTTACGAGCAACAGGTGACAATAAAAAGTTCTGCAAATATTAGAGAAAGTAATTATTATTCATAGAATAATGCAGGGCTCCCACGGTCTGGAAAATTAAAATGGTAGCAAAAGCCAGTAGATGTTTTAGGCAATCAATAAGTATTTAATTTAAGGGAAATATAAATAGGCTCAAAAAATTACCCTTGAATAATTTCATCATTCACAAGTATGAGATAAATATTGGTAGTCTTGAAAAATCGTAGCTACCACTCATTTGTTTTTTTCAGGTCGTGAGAGCCCTGGTGGTTTTGCAACATATAGCACCATTATTGTATATTTTTTCGATTCCTTTATATTAGTTACTAAAGTAGCTGCACTAATAAGCTATTGCTGACGGTATGAAGTTCATACTTATTGGTGATCTGAAAAAAATAATGGCCCATGCGCACAATGTTACCACAATTAAATATGGAGGACAGATGGTGATTGTATTTTCCTGGTCTACGAACCAAGCTCCCTGACCACCCAAACGTCGCATATTGGATTCTCAAACCACTACGACATGATGAGAGAAAGTACATCTGATCAGACATCCAGCCTCCAGGAAAATGAATCGAACCACAATCGAACCGTGCTAGAGTAGACTAAATCCCTCACCACAGTCTTCTGCTTTTCCTTTTTTAGAGAGTAATGTTCAGATGGTGTAAAAATGCCAAGTCGTTGTTACTAACGAAAACAGGAAAAGAGCTAAAAAATAAAGCTCTTTTTTATTGAAAGTGTAACGGAACAACAAACTTGTGAAGCTTTAAACAGGAGTTAAAACACTTAACAACTTACTTGTATATTTGTTACTGCAGCAAAAATTAAATATTTTGTTTCCTATCTGATACCCATTATTTTGATTGCAAAAATTTTAGATAGCAAAAATTTTAGACCGGAAATCATTTCATTTACGGAATGCTTTCGAATGTATTACTGTTCATTTTAAAAATATTTACATGCTTCTCGAAGTGGATATCACAATTATCAAATTTATTGTTGTTTTCGGCAATTTCGTCTTTATTTTAATTATTAATTTTCTTATTATTAGTTTTATGTTTGATTGGGCAGAAAATTTAATCAAAATAGTACTAATATAGTACTAATAGAAAATTTAATCAAAATAGTGCGGTACCGCACTGTCTATGTTTTCAGCTAATTCATCTGTTTCAGATGCCGGGCACTAGTATATCATACAATATTAAGATTATATAATTGCATTGTTTTACCTTTCTATAGACTGCATTCATAAGAGCTGACTTCATCTGGGCACCAGCGTAAAAGAAGAAGTACACTCTGAAATTATCAACAATTTTTCCAGAGACATCAACTATGCAAAACAAGCTCACATACAGCATGCCCCTCCATGCAAAATGATCATGCTCAACAAAGTCTATGAGACGACTGTAAAAATAAGGAAAGAAAAAATTAATAAATGTATAATTTTATGAAAATTTGAAATTAATAAGCATATTTTAAAAATTCTTTATAATGTTTAGAACTAAATAACATTATTTAAATTGTTAACACACCGTGGTAGTTGAATTGTCTCTTTTCGTCTGAAAGTAAGTTTAAAATAGCATAAATTTAGTACACAATTATTTGCAAATATTTTGATTTTGATAGAATGCTGTTTTGTGGCTTATCCTCGAAATCTCCCTTTGTCAGATATACTTCAAAATATCGTTGGCATATTATGGAAAGTTCATTATAGTCAGGAAATCAGGTGACAAATCATCTCTTGTTAGCCCAAGGCAGCTCAGTGTATGCTCGGGTGAAGTACAATGGGTACTGTATTATTTGCAAACTGGGAAAATCCCAGTCATCAGGAAAACCTCCCTTGAAAGAAAGGCACTCAAGAGGGACCATCTTGCAAACCTAGCCACAGTGGTCTGAGTACCTCTGTTGTATTTAGAGTATAGTGTTCAAGGAATATAGTGCTCAAGGGTGTGTCCTGCTTCATCAGTGGTGCACAGCTGGTATGTGCCATAATGAATTAAGCTTTACTTTTTCATTAGTATATAGGTCTTGAAGAGTGAAAGAGTAGTCGGTGGTCAAAGCACTCTCGCAGCCCTCCTTGCCAATCCGTACACAACTTCATAAAAACGCTGCTACTACAGCTTATTCTGCATAAGTAGATGAAATACGATAGATTTTCGAACTAAAAGTTAAAGATATTTGCATTCAAATCATTTTAATGGTAAAAGAGTGCTTCGTCGAAATAGTCGCAATTATTAGACCCCTTTTGTATGTTATTTTATTTTTAAATGATAGTTTATATTTTATCCTAAATAGGTTTTGGCAAGACATTATTTTCAAAATTTTGTCACTTGTCCCTGCTGATCCTTTTAAAATGTGGCCTAAATATTTTTTCGATCCCCTAGTGTAGCTAGTCTGGTAACACTAATTCAACAAACCACCGAAAACGTAAAACTAATTGCCTTTAAACTTTTAGCAGCCACTATTCATTAGGCAACAAAGAGCTAAAGTATATCACTTTGCTAAGAATAAAGAGTTGGATACTGAATTTAAATGGAAAACTTCAGATGAAACATGTAAGACTTAAATATTCAATTTTATAAAATAAAAAAACTCTCAAATGTATTATTGCTAATTACAACAATATCTTTGATGCTGAAAATACTCAAAAAAGATTCAAAAACTGAGCCCCTAGTTCACTTTTTCCTAAGTGATGCAATTCTCTCAAATAAATTTTAAAATAAATTTCACTCTCATTAATAGATTTTTTTTTAAAGAAGGGACTGCCCCAGGACCATCTAACTTCACTATTTAATTACTACATGCTGAAGGAGCTCTAATCGATTTTAATTGATAATTTTATAGGCACTGCAGTCTTACTCATTGGCACTGCGGTTGATTTTAATCATCACACACTAATAATTACGGACACTGCAATCACAGCGCTATAACCAATTATTTTCTAGCATCCATTTTATGATTTTATAAGACCCTACTTTCTTATTTTTCCCTACTTTCTTATTTTAATTCATGATTAAAGTAAAACCTGGTGATGAGGTAAAAGGCCCGCACGGGACCTACAGGCCACGAACAACCAAACAACTATAACTTTGACTACGAATGCTCACTCTAAGATTCCAGTATCTGATGACTTGTTTAAGAAAAATTTTAAATGGAAATTTTCTATTCCGGAAAGGAATAATTGATTTTCAGTACGGCGTGAATATACCCATACACGCTCTTTTTTCTATAAAAAAAAAAGTAGAAAGTAGCAGCATAAGTAATTAATTATTAGAGTTTTTCATTTTGCAGAAACGAGATATTGGTCAATATTTTTTTAACAAAACATCTATTTATACTTGGCTTTAAAGTCAGAGCATAATGCCTATTTAAAATTGAAATAATAGGTAACAGGAAAAAATTTCACTAGTTAAAAACAGTCATTTACTAGAACTTTTTTCAGATCGGGTTTTTTCATGTATAGACTACTTTTTTTTATTTTCTTTTTATTACTTTTTTAACTCCGCAGACTGATTATTTGAAACAAAAGGTCATTTCGCACCTTACCAAATCAAAGGGGTGGGGACGGGGAGAAAAAGTATTAAATATGATTTCAATCCTGATTCATATTTAACTAATTTAAACAATTTTCCTTAATTGTCAGATGATGGATACTTACTCTAATTGGCAATATCTTTCAAAACATGCAAAACGCAAGGCCTCCACACAACCACGAATCGAGATATAAAGTGTGCGGTATTTTAGATTTTCTATAAATATTTTCTGACGAAATCATTCCAATACATTTTTGCAATCGACAGTTTTTTTGTTTAATAGTTAAATAGTATATAATTGCTTGTTTTATAGATTTTTGATAAGTATCTTGGTTTTTATGCAATAACGTTTAAAAAAAATTAGCGTCATCAAAATCTGTTTTCATCAGTTAAAACAATAATAAAATTAGATTTCAAAAAATTCTAATATTTGAGAAACATGTGATTTTAATTTACTTACTCAAAACCACTCATCGCATCATTTTATTGCTTTTAAAGGATATATTCATAGAAGTTCTAAAAATTATCAAACGTAATGTCTCCTAATTTAATAAAATAAATCCTTTATTTTTTTCTTTTTTTGAGAGATATTGCGTTGTTTAATTACTATATCATCGAAAGTTTATTAAGTACAAGAAAAAAATACAAGAATACACAAATTGAAAATTTAACCTAAAATTCAAGATGAAAAGGATAGAGGCCTTTTACCAACTACCACATATTTTCGGAAAATAATTTTTCCTGTATAAAAAAGGTAATCCGTTATGAGTAAGTTCGAATCCCAACGATGGCAGGTCGATACGAATTCCGCCCCCGGCTAGCAGCGACAATGCTGGCGTAAAATATCATCAATGGTACACGGATCATGGGACAGAGTTCCTTTGCCGTCAGGCTAAGCGTGGAAGGTTTTTGTGATTTTCCTCTCTATGTATCGCAAATGCGGGTATGTCCCATGAAAAAGTCCTCCACGGAGGCAAATTTCTCACAATAATTGATCCAGGAGTTCCCTTGTCTTCTGAATTGGGTTCAAAATTTCAAGGCTACGGAGTTAGTAGTCGGAAACCCAAAATTGAGTCGGCTGTTCAACGACGGTTATAAAATAAAATATTTTAATAAATTTAAATTCAATGAATTTTGTCTAACTCGCTCGATAGTCTTGATAAAAAATTTTATAAGTTTTGTTAGTTTGAAATAAATATCGTATTTTGTGGTCACTAACACTGACAAATACATTTTCGCCCGAAGCCCAAATGTGGGAGAATGTGTCCTTGTCCTCCAGAAACCTTTGGTCTTAAAAGCTCCACTAATATTTATTATGAAACGGATTTAAATATCGTATTGTCACTTGTCTGTTCTTTCAATTTGACTTTCCAATTATCATAACAACAACTGCATAGTTGAGAGCAAGAAAAAAATTTGCAGTTACACTTTGCCTATGGAACTAATGGGTTAATATTTCGCTTGAGGTTGAAATTTTATAATTAATCTCTCCTTTTTAATTCTCAACTTTGAATAAAATCTCGATCTATTTTGCCAGTAATTCTTTCATATTTTTTATTAATTCATTAACATTTTCAATCTGTTAGGAAAGAAAATATTAAATATTTGACTTTAATTAAAATTTTATAATGAGTTTATCTTTCCTTGGGACCAACGGGTTTCATATTCTTGAAATTAATATTTTCTATATTGTATTGAGAATAGTAATGACTTATTTTAAGTGGTTTTGGTGCATTTATAAGAATATTTACGAAGTTAGGGTAGTATTTTTTTTTGTCTAAGTTTTGCGTGAACTTATTATTTCAATTTTTAAAAGCATACATTAATATATGAAAATCTTGATAGTTGAATAAATTATAATTTTGTGGGCAAATATTCCATCAAATCCTGACACACCTGAATAAAAAATATACAATCGCAAACACTAAAGTATTACAATTGCAAAAAATATTCTATTTATTTAATCAGTATGTGGTTTACATTTTAACATTTCTTAATGATATTTAGAAATAAAAAAACAATCAATGCATAAAAATTTTGTTTTTCTTAATGGTTTAATTTTCCTCTCAAAGGATCATCAGTTGAGTATCAAACCCCAAAAAATCCAATTTAAAAATAATTCTCAAAGTGCAAAATAGCCATTTCGCAATATTAAAAAAAGTTGCATCTTTCATAATTTGTTAAATGAAATGTAAATATTACAGGGTTGTTACCATCTGAAAAATAGGAAAATAAAGGGTAGCAAGTTCTCTAACAGTAATTAAAAATGATGAGTTGAATTTTTCACAATTTTTCAAAAACTTTAAAAAAAAAAAAATTTTGTTTTAAATCGTAGTGACTCCATATTTATACCGTCAAACATCATGTTTTACACTCTTGCAGGCCTGCCAACTACACGTTTTGCAAAATATTTTATTGCGTGATAAACATTTAAAAATCAAAGCTTTCAGAATTTTCCTGTAATTTTGAGCTAGATAAAGTTGCGTTCGATACAAACTTCTAAATCATTTGCATATAGTAGTGTGGAAAGGAAGTTGAAATGAATAAAAAACAATTCCTTGAAGCATGAACTTAGTTACCACTAGAACAAATTTTACAAAAATTGCACAAAGTGGCTGCTTTTTTTTCCAGGTATGCATTTTTGGCAAACCATTCATGAATTCCCTAAAATAAGAAATATTAATAAACTTACTCTAAAAGTAAAGGTGGTACAAGCAAGGACAACGTAAAAAGAAAATTGAAAATCGTAGCCGCCACTATCCAAGGCCAGAAAGTTTTGATTAAACTAAGTCCTAAACTTCGAGATTCAAGAGATTTTGGTTCCCTGAAAATATTCTCTACGTCATTATAGAATCACAGAGAGACATCGTTTGCTAAGTTTTCAAAATGTTCTTGTTTACGTACTTGTTTATGTTCCATCGTTTCAGGAATTCTGCGTATGCAAATTTGGCCACTAGTCGGACACTTATAAACTTTAGATCAAGCACAGTCAGAAGCTTCCGTCTACTTTCAAAGACGTACCTGGAAAACAGGTTAGGTCTTAATAGGTAGGAAATATTACAACCACACTGAAATTAGTCAGTAATTTAAATGTCTAATTAAGTCTAATAATTCGACAAAAAATACTATAAGAGATAAAATTATCTTAAATTTTTGTGTGTGTACTTTTTTTAAAGTTTGTGAAATTAAAAAGAGGCAATATAATATTATAATAAAAATATTAGAGCGAAAGTATTTAAGATCCGTGAACGAATGTAAGATATGTAAAAAATCTGTTGTCCTGTGAATATTATGTACAAAGGGAAAAAAATAAACAGACCTTTCTGAATAACTACTTTTGAACCTGAAAAATCACTGGATCTCTCTTGATCTAATGATCGGATTTTCACTTTCTAAGACTCAATCTTAATGGTTTGAAGGAGTGACCTCAAACATGTTAATTAATTAGTGCATCTTAATGGTTTGAAGGAGTGACCTCAAACATGTTAATTAATTAATGCATCTTAATGGTTTGAAGGGGTGACCTCAAATATGTTAATTAATTAGTGCATCTTAATGGTTTGAAGGGCTGACCTCAAATATGTTAATTAATTAGTGCAGACCATATTTTAAGACACGAAACTTACTTTGTTTGAATAAACACACCTTTTTTTTCTATGGATTCGGATTTCTGGTCCCCAAAATATACGGTGTAGCAGCTATCTGAGAAATATGGTCCTCATAATTCGGTTAGGAAAAAGGTGCAAAGTTTAGACCACTTAATATTAATTTAACTTTTTGCGCATTTCGCCAAATCTCAAAAACTTTCCAAGAGAATTGAAAAAAATGTTCACACAAAGAAAAGTCTATGCAAAAAATATTTTTTAATAAATTCATACTATTTTTTATTATTTTATATTAATAGTCGAAATCATTTTGAATGGTAAGGTACATAATTTTGACATCATCTTAAAAAATTTAATTTTACTGAGCAAAATAGAAAATTTTAACGAAATCAGTCAAATAGTTCCTGAGAAGTCGAATTTTAAAAAAGTCGTATTTTAAACATGAAAGTAACAGTATGGCTGCTTCTGACCTGATATATTTTGACTTTTTTTTCAATTGTTTTTAACTGAAAGCTAAATTTTTTTTAAAAATATACATTCTTTGAAAAATGTGCATGCATTTCTGTTGAAATTATTTTCCTCCAGTTTTCAATGGCGTGCAAACCATGAAACCGGTTTAATTAAATCTGAGCTAAAGTTAACTTAATAACATTTTCAAAAGTCTTGAGAAAAGTTTGATCACTTTCTTCCATTTTTTCCAGCTTGTGAGTATTCTGCATTTGGTGGGGTGAGCAAATATATACCTCAGGACTGAAAAGTATATATAAGAATAACCACTTCAAGAAAGGCGAGTCATTAATACATTCTTAGGTTGGCGACAATCAAGGTAAAAAAGATAAATCTGGTAGCTAAACTGTATCTTTATCAGTTTATTTGTGTGTGGGATAATGCTAATTTTAAGTTTCCCACGTGCGAAGTAAGCTGTAAAAACGACACCACAACAAATGTAAAGCAAAAATTTATTAAAAAAGATTACAATTAGCAATAAGTAAAATTAGTCCTCAAATTTGCCATACCCATTTTAGCTGCTACATTTAATTTTAATATTTTTCTTCTGGTATTGATCAGTTGCATTCTTGGTTATAAGTTTTAAAATTCATGCTGTTAACCCCAAAACTTGTGCTCTCAAGTCAATTGAAGCGCGCTAAACAGGTCAAACTGTGCACACTCGAGATAATTCGAGCGGCGTTGTATTTTATGCAGCTATAATATTTCACACTCGAATATAATCGAGAAATGAAAATAACTATGTGAAAGCTAAGAAAACAAAATCGTTTTATTGATATTTATCATTAACATAGGATTGTAAGCTATAACACTTATTTATTCAACAATAAAATATACAGAGATGCCAACTTGCGCCGGACAGCAAATATATATTTTAAAGTGGTAGTTTATGAATTATGATTCTTGGTTTAATAAAATAAATTTAGTAGATTTTCATCCACCACTATTTCTAAATAATTTGTAAGTTTATATCATTCACCACAGTTTAGTTCACTTTCTTAAACATGGCAATTAATGTAAATATCTTTGTTCAAGTTGTAATTTTTTCAAATCAACGTTATGTTTTCTGTACATATTTTCATGGCAATTACTGTAAATATCTCAGTTCAAGTTTGTATTTTCTCTAATCATGGTAATATTATTGTAAAGCTACCACAGCGACTGCTTATATTCAAAATGTTTTTACCTCATTGTTGTAGTTTCACGATGAATGGGATAGGGGCCGCTGCGCGGCCCAGGTGCCCAGTTGTTTTTAAATAAAGTAAGTAAGTAAGTTCACTTTCTTACTCAGATTTGACTATTTTTTAACAGAGGCTTCACAGCCAACACTCGAATTTTTTTCTTTGCTAAAGCCATTTTGTAGCCAACCGCATACCCGCCAACTTTTCCGGAAGATGTTATTCCAATTAACTTTTTGAATTATAATGATAATTATAAATAAGTTTGACCACCACTACATATAAATAATTACAATAAATATATAAAAGCATAATAATCCTTACGCAAGCGAATTTCAAAGGGATCAATATATAAATATATTTGTGAGTCAGATTGTTTTTCGTTAATTGTGTTATAACCACTCTGAAAATCCATTCTCGGAAAGAGTGAAAGTTGGCAGGTATGCAAAAGTTATATCATCAGAAGAAGGAGCAGGTACTCTGCTACAATACATATCAAGTCAAGGTACACATTCAAGCTATACCTTTCAAAAAGAAAACAAAAATAGTCAAATATATGCAAAATTAACTTTGTAGTTATTTACTGTTTTTATTAATTATTTTGGCGTGTCCGAAGCAGTTGGCATCTCTGAATATAGCCTTTTTCCATGGAACAAAAGCGCAGTACATCAAAATTACCCATCAAAAGAAAAGTCAATGTTCTGAAGTGTGTTTTTTTACTTTAAAAAAAATTGATTTTTTTTCTTCAAAAAATGTGCCTTAAGGGGTTAAATTGGAAAATTGAAATTGGAGCATACAAATTCGAAGCCGTTGATAGCTTCACCTATTTGGGGTCTAAGATTAACAACAAAAATGACACTACACGAGAATCACGATGGCCAATAAGTATTTTTATGGCCTAAGAAAATATCTTAAGTCAAGCCTAATAAAAAGAAAAACAAAAGTGTTACTCTATAAATGTCTTATACAATCAGTGCTTACATACGCATGTGAGACCTGGACAATGACCCGTGGAGATGAAAATATGATAGCTAATTTTGAGAGAAAAATACTGCGAAGCATTTTTGGTGGAATAAGTAAAAACGGTACCTGGTTTAGAAGATCAAATACGGAACTCTACAAAGATATAAAGAACCTGATGTCATTAAATTTATCAAAATTCAAAGGATTAAATGGGCCGGCCACATTAAAAGAATGGAGGATAGCAGGACAACCAAAAAAGTTTTCTGTGCAAGGCCAACAGGTACAAGAAAAAGAGGACGACCAAACCTAAGATTTTTAGACTGCCTTGAGAAGGACCTACAAATTTTAAAGATAATTAACTGGAGAACCTTGGCTAAGGGAAGAATGTCTTGGCATAGGCTTGTTGAGAAGGCCAAGGCCCATCCTGGGCTGTCATGCCAATAAGAAGAAGAAGAAGAAGGGGTTAAATTACTTTGTTAAAAAAAGTAGTGTGCAGAGTAAGTTAAAGAACTTTACTTTCCACACATGATAACGAATTTCGACTACTCAATATTTTTCCTTTTTAAACTGATTCGCAACGATCTGATAACAACACTTTTCAGAATTACAGGAATGGGAATAAAATTAAACTGTATAAAATTTTCAACATACTTGATGAACCAGGATATGGTAACATAAGAAATAAATGACACATCTTCTATGACTTTAGCGTCCTAAAGATTAAAAAAATAAAATATTATCAACAAACGAAAAAAAATTCAAAAACAAATACAATCTCTATATACAGAGTACTAAATAAAAAGCGGGCCACACAGAACAATTGATCCATTGATCGGATCTTCACATGGGACTCAATCCTAAAGTTTCTCAAAATGAAGACATTTCAAGTTACGAAATCAGACATAAAAACTTATTTACTGACTTTTTCGGCGGATTCGAATTTCTGACCTTTAAAATATAGGTGGCAAACGCAATCTGGGAAACATTTGGTCAGGAGAGATGTCCAAAGTTTTAACTCCTTAATGTTAATTTCACTTTTTGCGTATTTCGCCATATCTCGAAAATTTTTAGTCAAATTAAAAAAAAAATTTCACAAAATTATAAAACTTGTTTATCTAAAGATAATTTCATTCAAAAATAGCTTTTAGCTAATGATTATTATTTTATTTAACACTAGACGAAAAAATTTTGAATTGGAAGGTATACAATTTTTTACATGCGGTTTAAATGACTAACTACAAAATGTGGATAGGAATCGGTCGAATTATTCCTTAGAAATTGAATTTTGAAAAAAAATCGTGTTTACAAAATTTGATTTTACAGGAATAATTCGACCGAGTTCTCTCAGATTTTGCCATTTAAAATTACATTTTTTAACATGATGTAAAAATTCTGTTCCTTTCAATTGAAATTTTTTTCGACTCTTATTTAATAATATAATAGCAAATAATAAATATCAATTAAAATCTATTTTCTACATGGAATTTTCTTTGAATAAACGTATTTTACAATTTTTTACAATACTTATTAAATTCGCTGAAAAAGTTCTTGAGATGCTACTAGTTTTCCATTTTCTTGGAACACTAGTCAATATATATTTACGGAAGAGAATGATTAAATTTATTCCTCTTACAGTAATTTAAAATATTTTATTATTTTTTTAGTTAAGAAAAGTGGTAAGATATTTATCCTGTAAAAATTGAATTTATACATTGCTTTTATTCCATTGCTAGGCATTATTGTAAGAAAATTAATCGTTAGCACAACTATTTTTCAAATAGAAGTAGGAAAAATAAAATTAACTACCTGGAAAGAATCAAAGCTCCTGTAATCCACAAACATAGTTAAGAAAAGCTGAATATATACGAATGAAAAATAAATCATGTTGACAACGAAAATGACTTCTGGCAATGGTCTTTTTCCCTACGAGGAAAAATGATTTTAGGTATAAAAACAAGAAATCTCAATATTTTTTATGGAAGCCGATTTCTGAAGGAATCCCAAACGCACGCCAAAAATATTGGTATGAAGAAACTAATATTAAAACTATTTGAAATTTCCTGATTTAGCACTTACTTAAATCCAACACTTTTCGCGCATTAGGTAATATATTTCCATGGTCGAATTTAAGTAGCAGAATTAATGTGGCGAACAAGTTCTTTTTCTGAGTAACTTTTGTAATTTAGAAACGCTATTTGTTAATATAAATCTACATTTTATTTTTTTTCGGAAGCCGACCGAGCAGTCAACGTGCCAGACTGCGAAGAAAGTGGTTGCGAGTTCGAATCCCTCTCAGAGCAGGGATGTTTCTCTCTGCGTGTTGTGCTCTCTGTTATGGGATGTGTGAATATGGCCCACCTTATAAACAGGTATCTGTGTGCATTGTGGCATGGGTAATTCTGTTCGACTTCGTGTCTTAGGTTCACAGGTGCCCACCGAGGAACATTAAATGAGCAACACTTGCGGCATCTTCCACGACGACGAAGAAAAATTTTGTGCTTGCTGTAAAAANAAAAAATAAGAAAAAACATTTACAAATTCCCAGATCACTCGGAACTTAGCTACTCAGCTCGAAGTACTCATCTTTACTTTATCAAAACGCATGTTACAGAACAAGGACATACCTCAAAAACCACGTTTCTAAATAACAATTGAATACCGCCATTTTTCACGCTTTTCAAAAAGGTGTTTGATTGTAAGTATGTGTTTCATACAAATTTAGTCAATAATTAAAAGCACTATTGGAGAGCTAGCAAGCCTATTATATATATATATATATAT